GGCGGCGCCGCAACCGTCTGCGTCACGGGGCCGACTATTACCATGTATTATTATTATTTTATATTATTATTATTATTATTATTATTATTATTATTATTTGGCAACGTAATAGTATATGTATAATACTTATTTTCCATTCTAACTGTCTTCAAGTTTGGCATTTAATGAAACATTCAAGTTGTTTAGCATAGGCAATGGCACTACGACAACGTTCAACAATGTTTAACTATGTTTTTTGTGTTTATTTTTTAGATCGCTTTTTATCAACTTAGTCACATAGCAACAATTGTGTTTTCTTTAACTGTAGGAAGAACACGTAAGGGCACCACAAACACACAGACACACACACATTCATGTCCGAGGCGGGATTCGATCTTTCGAGACAAGACAGCTACGCATTTTAACCTTAGCGACCTCAGCTATCCAGGTCGGCTTAACTATGTTTGATCTGAACGACATAGTGCTTTGGTACCCTTTGGGCTAATCACAATCAACCGACTGTCAATGTGTTTAAGTGTTTATTGTAATACAATGGAATTGCTTAATGGAATCCCAAGCTATTAATTTAAATAAAATCTCCTTGGTGAAACAGTTCACATTGATGTTTTAGCGTTCAACTTATCTTGTAATATTTAAGTCAGTTTAATTTTCTTGACTACGAGTCATGACAGCAAGAAGAGAAAGTGTTAAAAGACCTTGTCATATCTAAAAAAAATGACTGTAATTTTTAACCTAATCTTGCATAAAATTATTGTAATACATTGTTAAATACATGTAGCATTGCTTTTTAAATATACAAAACTAGTGAATTCGGCTATGCTTCGCTATTGCAGTGTATTATTCTTCATATGCTACTGATCACGTGATTGTTAATCACGGTTTACTTAGACCTCCTTGTGAGTACGAGTTGATTTGTTATATGCCCTGGTTTGGGCATGATTGTGAAATATCCTTTTGTTAACACGTTCTCCCTGAAGTTTGGGCATGCGTTCGCTATGACACTGTCTAGGAGAATTTGATTTACTTTTCCGAGATAATTAGAGACGATATTTCACAATATCAGAGGCAGAATATGCCGTCACAGACGCTTAATACATGACTGTGCTGGGATTGCCTGGAGCGCCTGATCAAAAAATCTTGAATAATCATAAACGCATTAATCATCATCAACAACACCCCAACATGTTTAATTAAAACCACTCTTTCTACACTCCCGACACCAGTAAGAACAAAGTGCAAAAATTTCAGTGAAATCGGTCAAGTATTTTTGCGTCTGTGTGTGTCAGACATGCGCACATTCCTTTTTATTTATGTATAGATTTTCCTTCAATTATATTGCATTTGCAATTGCAGGATTGACCCTCCCCTACTTCACTACTCCGGATACCGGAATATAATTGGTATGAGACTTGTGTAACACGTTCGCGATCCTGCGAATACTGTTCAAGTAGCATTACCGTGTTAATGTCTTGCAATCTTCTTCGGCTTTTTTTTTGTTAATTAAGTTCGCATCAACATTATTTATTATTAGCGACCACTATTGCTTTTAACGGTATGGTAACTTTGAGGACGACACTATTTGATGATGATAGGGGGTGAAAAGACGAACAGAATACAACCATGCACGAGGCGGGACTGAAATCCGCGATCCTTCGGTCCGAGATAGCTGCGGCACTACTGCCTTAGCGATCGTCTGGACCAGCCATATTTCTTTCATGTTCTCTAAATTTACATTTCTGTTATATGTAATGTTGATTTTACTTGTATTGGAATATTCAGATTGTTTACATTGAGTAATATATTTTTATTTTTTTTAAACGACCTCAGGTATCACAACTAGAAGCGAATTATTGTATTTCATGTACGACGATAATGATACTTTTTGTGCTTTTTTTGCACAAGAACATTAATTTGTTTATTACAAGTGAATATAACATTTCTCTCTAAGGAATATTATATAAATTATTCTTATTGATATTATTATGTAGATTCAAAATTCATTTCTCTATGAATTTAAAAAGAGCCTTAATAAATTAGTCAGTATTGTTTCTATCCTATCATTTAGGAAATTTACATCTTGGAGGTTCATTTTTAGTGTAGTGTAAGAGGTGCAAAGTTAAAATGCTCTACTACTCTTGCTCTAGTAGATGACGACTGATGTAAATGACATGGCATTTTCGGCGAGAACCGCAGCGCTGTAGATGAGGTGGTTGACTGAGGATGAAATAGCCTAAGGTTTTGAATTACAGTCCCGTAAACGGCATTCAAATTATCAAGTTCCCATAAACATACTTTAAGCCATCATCCATTATTGCATCTTTGTCTAATGAAGTTGGGTATCGCTTAACTTACACACAAGCGCCAACAGCATGTCTAGGCTACCAAGCACTAATAAAATGGAGTACAGATCAAATTTGTTGCGCGTAATTTCTTCGCAGAAATGTAGATATCATCACGAGGGGCATTTGTTCCGGTAGATCGAGAATTACAAAATGATCGCTGCAGACAATTAAAAAGTTATCCCTGCCGGGAACCGAACCGCTCAGCAGGCGTCATTTTCCTCGTCACCCGCGCTGCAGTGGGCTCCCGGGTGGCGAGCGGGTGGAAAGCCGATATCGGAGGGACATGCGGGCCAACATGTTGCCAATGCGATCGATTAGGTGGGCGGGCGGGCGCAATAAAAAGAAATATTGCTGCTCCAATAAAGGCAGGGCCGGTGCGGGGCGAGGAGCAACGAGGATTCGAGGCGAGGGCAGCGTGAGGCGAAGCGACATGGGATGGCGTGGGGCGGGGCATGGTGTGTAGGGACGGATTGGAATTTTTTGAATGATTGATGATTTCATGCGCGTCAACTGCTGAGGTCATTACTCCCGTAAGTGTATTGCATTCCTTGGGAGATGGCGGTAATCTTCCCCCCGCTAGATTGTGAGATCCGCCTCCGAATTACATGTCGGCTAGCGATGTTTTCCCCGACTAGGTATCTCCCACCTGCGGTGCACCGCCCCAGAGGGACAGGCTTAATGCTTCCGATTAGTCTTCCGGCATGTGTAGTAGAAAAGTAATAGTAAGTGAATGTAAGTAAAGGATGAGGATAGGACAAAATAAGGGGAGGAAAATCCCGCGCGTGATCCATGGCCCGTTTGTTAGGGTACTGTCCCGGCATTCTTCTGGTATTGAGAGGTGAAACACGGAAAACTACTGATCAGAGCAGCCAGCCACTAAAATTCTCGTCCACACTACGACTGAATTCGACCTAGCTATCTAGCTAGTGTCGAAAATCCTGCCACATTCCGAAGTGGAACCCTAGGACACGCTCCTCATGAGGTCAGAGGCACTGCCGTGTCATCAGTTGATGCCCTGAGCTACGTCTTCCGGTGGGCGGGTTGCAGTGATTTGAGGTCAAACTGCGTAGGGGGGCGGGGTGGCATGTTGCAAAGTCGAGCGAGAAAATTACGATGGGTTGGGTTTGGGGATCGTGAAACAGAAAGAGTGGAGAGGGGCAGAATAGAGAGTTAGGGTAAGGGACAGATAAGGCACAGAGTTCACAGTGTCGAGAATGAAGACGCCGTGGACATTCGTGAGGAGAGTGGCGAGGCGGAGAGGCGGAGAGGGTCAAGAATGGGCGGGATGGGGGAACAGTGTGAATGGGATGAGACATACCAGCGTGTTCGGTTGGGAATGCGTGGGGTGGAGCAACGCCGGCGGATACTGTTGTGGTGGAGCGTCACGTAGGAGTGGGCGTGGGGGCCGAGAGGTCAGAAAGGAGCGAAGGGGGGAGGGAGCGAGGGATCGGAGTCTACCCAACGGAACTGAGCCGGGCGCTCCCTGTTTGGCGTTGTTATTAATTTATTTGCCTAGTGTGTGTTCCTTGTGTCTGCGCGGCTCATGAGAGCGCTCTCGTGAAGGGGAGATGAAATGAAGAGGAAGTTAAGAGATGGTTGAACGTAGTAATACGAGGAAACCTGCTCCGGTGTTGTCGAGATTTTGAACAAGTAAATGTTGCACAAACAGGTATAAAAAGTAATATTGAAATGCTTTTTATTACTTTCTCGCATACTGTTTATGCAGTGTAGAGAAAGTATTGTAATGCTGCGTGAAAAACAGCGGTTTTTTCTCAGAAAAAAACTTCTTATTGTCGAGTTCTTGCTGACAAAAAAGTGGATACATAATATTCGTATATGAGACAAATTACTCCCTCTAACCGTTGTGTAGTCATAATTAACGTTTGGTTACATCGAAAGTTTGGTATCCGCGAAGCGTCTGTGAACAACACTAGCGGTTAAACCATAAGCAGTATTTTCACTTAAATTTATATTATTCGATCGATCAGACTAATGTCGCGTCCCCTTGAGTTTGAGAAAGATATTTTGATTTTTGTTGGTACTTACAAGAATCCTCAACATTTTTACAATTTTATCAAAACGGGCACCAAATGTTTTGTTTTTTCTGGTATGGAGCAAAAGACGCTTCAAGAAATGACGCAGGGCGGATTTTGGTTGAACCCTTGGTTCAAATTTTTTGGCGTCTTTCCACAAATATAAAATTGACGATAAAGATTTTTTTCTCAATTGAAATTTCTCCATCAAAAAATATCCAAAAATAACTTCATGACATATTTTTTAGAAAAAAATGTTAATGAAAAAAGTACTTTAACAATTTTAAAAACAATATTTTCCCAAAAAATATTCAATAGTTTTTCAGTAGGAAAGTATCATAAAAATTTTAAAAGAATCGATCATGTTCGTTTATTGAAATTTAATCAATCTAAATTCATCATTACATTACAACATAGAAAAAGGGGCGGTCATTAAACTGAATTATTCAGAAGTAAAAATTGCTCACAACTCATTACGGCAAGAGCACACAAAAAAACAGGTTGTAAAGAAGCGTTAAAGATTGAAACATCTGGAAGTTGAGAAATACACGCCGGTTCACGTTGCCGAATGTACGTTCTCTACCACGATTCACAAACTGCGCGGATTCGGCCGTTCCATCCCCAATTACAAACGGCCTCTGCCCCCTGGCCAGTCCACTAGGCCAGGAGGCGGGGCGGCGGCGTCGGACTGCGCCGGCAGCGGGGGCTCAGGCGACGGGGCCAAAGGTCGGGGCGGTCGCGGGCCGCCCGCGTGGTGTGTGGGTGGAGGGGCGGGGGAGACTCCGCAAAGGGAAAGGGAAAGGAGGCGCGCCCTTCGGGAGCGAGTGGGTGGGCGTGGCCGATCGATCAGGGGCGCGCGCGGTAATCCCCTGGCCGCAGGCCCCAATCCCCGGGGATTGCTTGTTGCAGGCAATAAAATTAGGCGCTGGGGCCCATTCCGCTCACGCGCCGCCGCCCAATATGGCGGCATTAGCATGGCCCCCTCCCTCTCCTCCTCCCCGCACGCTCACTCTTCCACGGCCCTCTCTCCCAACCTCTCCCTTCCCCGCCTCCAACAATGCTGGCCCGAGAGGCGTTGAAAACAAAGTCGGCGTCGTTTTGAGGTGCAAATCGATCCCTGGAACCATTACGATCTAATCGCCTGACGCCGAATTTATTCGCCAATAGTAGAGACATCTGACATTTACGCTGGTACCGCATATTGGATTTCGTGCTGTGTCTCGATTCAGGTGGTGACTCCACAATGCTGAAGTGTATACTCGGTTATTGGCTTCAAAGCTTCACAATTGAAGGGGTCAGGAGAAGATAGGGCTAACCCTCATATCATAAATCCTAACCAAAAGTTTTTGTGTTTTCTAAAATCAAAGATTATGAACGACATACTGACCAAACGTGTTCATAAAACTACTGTATGAGCGCATAAAGCAGCCAGAAGTGTATAGAAAATAATACTCGTCTCATTGTAGTGAAACGTTTCCTCTGGCTGAAAAAAATATAGACATGTGGGTTAACACTCTGTTCCTCCAATCCTTCTTTTTAGGGGCAAAAATCAAGCAAAAATTACCAAACAAAATGTAATCCGGTTTAAACAAATGTAATGTAGCCATGTCGAAGTGTTCACGATTCAGCTACTTTAAATCCATTTACTGAAATAACTGGTATGTATTCACCTTGGAATATTCCGTTTGCTGTTACCCCCCACATTCAAGGAAGAAATTGTAAAATGTCTTCTGGTACATCTCATATCTCTCCCACTTCGCAACCTCTTCTCGCTTTCCTGCACTGCAGCAGCTCTTTCCGAGGCAGTGCTGGCCCGAGGGGCCTTGGAAACAATGCCGAAGCCACTGTTTGGAGACGCGAAACGATTCCTGTCACCATTACGATCTAATCGTCTGGCGTGAAATTTATTTGCCAATAGTAGAAACTTCAGCCTTTCAGGCTGTCACCGCATATTCGATTTCGTGCAGTCTGGGTCGACAGAGCAATTGACTTAAAACCATCTATTCGTTTTATCGGTGTCTGCCTGTTGCACTATTTGTTTGCTAGTATTACAGACAAGTGAACATGAATTTCTTTTGTGAATACTGATTTTATCATTATTTTCTAGTTGTAAATACACAGTAATGACGCGTAGAGTCCGATAATACATCAACTCGTTTATAAGATATACAGAGCAAGTCAAATTATTAGACTTAAAATTCTTTCTCTGACTTAACAATTTATAAAGGGTCTAGATCACCACGTGAAAAAGCAATGGTTTGAAGTGTAATGCCTGTAAATGTTATAGGGAATGTATACATAAAGTAAGTGATGCAAATATGGCCATTGCAGGTAATATGGCCACGTAGCGACTCCGGTGTTAGTTGAAACTACTTCTGATGGATTGTGCCAGGTGCTTTTATTGTCAAAAACACGCTGAAGGCACTCTGTCCTCATAACTTCATACAAACGTATAAGACCTCGCGCTATTTAAAAAAATAATTTATTTCAGGCTGAATTTTTGAAATATTAGACAGAGTGTAATTTACATTATATATCAGTATAGCTAGCCCTAGTTCCACAGCCATGCTACAAGAAACAAGTTGCCTATGGCCATAAAACCAGCATGTAGGCATATTACCTTCAAATAACAATGTTTTTGTAAAATAACAACAAACTATTCCGGATTCTTTTTTTTTTTTGTGATATAGTTATTTAAACTTGAAGCAAAAGTGTTATATTTCATCATGATGCTGTTAATTTGGCCAAATGTTCAAATATCTAAACAGCAAAATTTGATGCGCTTGACGTGGTCATACTCGTATTACCTTCACATCCATTACTTAATGATATAATTAGGCACGACAAATTCATAGGGGTTCTAAAGAAACAATGAATCCCTCAAGTAAATGATTCATCAAGAAAATCCATGCACATTCATTCATAATTACACTCCTTGCCACAAAAGGAAGAAAAATTGAAAAATATCTTCAAGACATTTATCCGTCTATGCCTCAATGGGCCGTAAACAGCTCTGACATAATTCCGATAAAAATGTTCGATGGATAGTTAAAAGAAACTTAAGAATAGAATGGCTTAAAAATAGCTCTTAAAATAACTCATTCGCATCTGCCAAATTGAATAAAATTGAAAGAATGGATTGAAAATTGATTTTCAATATACTTCAGAACAGATACAAATGTTATTAATAAAAACATGTTCACAAAATATTACAAATATATCATTGTCAAGACCTTTGGCGGCCAATACATTTTTGTGTCACTCCATATCTCTAGTCTAATAATTAGTCAACTCCATAAAACGTCTTTAATATTGCTAAAAATTCGTTAGTACAAATGAAGAAGTGATGAATTTCACATTTACGGCGTTACAAATTTCTGTACTCACTTCTGAGTTTCCTTTCTTTCTTGTGGTAATGTTTGCTTACCTGAAACAAAAGAAAATTATTTTAACAGTAGAACAAAGTAATAATAATTATTGTTATAGATTTTTATGCACATCAATTGTACGTAATGCATTCCTGTCATACATACTACACACGAACGACAAATTTTCTGAAGTTAAAGAATTAATACATTTTATGGATTGATCTGATAATAGAGATGTCACATAATTGTTCGGAGTAGAGCAAAATATGGCAAGTTCATTGTACCGTGATTTTTATCACATAATAATATTCACGATAATTCATTGATGTTTACTGAGAGTTCAGATTTCTGAGATATTCTGTCGACAATATGTCTGCGATTGTCCAAGAAAGATGGACCTAAGTTTCTTCTTTCTTTCTTCTTCTTAGATTGTTATGTACAAGTTTACTGTCTACAATCACGACAAAACAACTAAATAACAAGTAAGATAATTCAGTTTTCTTAAATTGGAAACTGTACTTTTGGAACTTCAGACTTTGGAACACACATGTATTTCTATGTCAATGCACATTGGAATGCCCGCATCAATTCATGTCCGTTTCTGCCTCCAGTAGATCTTTTTAGGAGCAAAGGATACATTTGTAGTATTAAATACATTGATGTAAGAGCCGAAGGAAAAACTATTATATAACTAAGATATCGTTTATGAATTCATATTCGTACAAATTGTCGGATTTGTTAATGTCACGAACCTACAAAACCATCGAAATGGTGATGATGGAAAGACCATTGTGCTTGTGTAGAAGGCATACGAGTAGAAATATAATGTTCAAAAAGAATACGATCGGAACATGTATGAATTGCATTAAGATCGACATAAAATATCGACCCGGAGAGTAATGGAAAAGAATAAAAAATAGGCGTTTTGTCGGAATACACTTGATAAAAAAGTTGGTAAAATATGCAAAAATATTACTCATCATTAGTAAACATTTATTTACCAACCATGTTAAACTTGTTCGTGATATGCAAAGCGCTAGAGGCATGTGCACTGATGAAAATAACAAAAAATCATTTTGTTTATTATATAAAAATTCTTCGAAACTACACACACGAGAAATGTTATATCATACTACGAAACACGTTTGCACTCTGCATCTGTTGATGGCATGCTGTGCTAAATCCATAAGTGATGTATTTGGCTGAGGATTCGTCATATGTGAACATACATCATTATTCACAAACTTTTTAACGGTTTTGTTATTTAAGTCATCTGACATTCATTGCTCGATACTCATTATTTCATTATGAAACCATAAAAATAAATTAATGGCATTTTCTTCCTCGACCTTAACGATCCTAATAATATCTCAAAACTATTCATAATTCACATATCTTTAATTTAACATTGTTACTATCATAACTGACAATGCTAAACATTACAAAACGTCTATGTAGTACTACATAATTATCCAGATTAATTGGTTGGGATCACTGAATGTGTGGATTGGAAAGTTCTGAAAATTTGAATGCGACACAATAGGAAAGAGAATGGCTTTGAATGAACAGGCGACTCAAGCTAGAAAAACGTGACACGTGTAATGGCAATACAAATTGCGTTTCCAAGAAGCTTTTATTTCCGATCAAAGCCGAAATGACATGAGGAAAAATCGATTTGGGTAATTGCCAGGCTTCGGTTAATTAGAGGCCGAACAATGAAAAGGCTGAACGTACGCCGAAAACTAAATATCTAACGAAGCCCACAAAAAGAGATCTTCCATGGAATTTCTGAACGCGAGGAACTTCAATCGAAAAAAAACCTGCAAACGTCCCCAGTGGGTTGGGGGCGTCTCAGGGGTGAAATCGTCAAGCCATGTAGGTCGCCCTCTGCCTAGTGTGCATAAACGACGGCCGGAGTCGATGGGGCCTCTGGGGCCACGCTGTAGAGAGCGGAGAGCAGGGAGCAGGGGCGCTGCGAACGTTCTTCGTCGAGAGCGACATTTCCAACGCAAATGGAACGCTTAGCGCTGCGCTACCATCACGATGGCGCACGAGGACGAGGGGACGGGGAGGACGAGGACGAGAGGGACGGGGAGGACGAGAACGAGGGGGACGGGGAGGGGAGGACGAGGCGAGAGAGAGGGCGAGGACGAGGGGGAAAGGAAAGGGGAAGAAGGCGGGGCGAGGGCGAGAGCGAGGGCGAGAGCGAGGGTGAGGGCCAGGGCGAGAGGAAGGACCGAGCGATGGCGAGAGGAAGGACGGAGCGATGGCGAGGGGGAGGACTGGGACGAGGACGAGGACGGGTGATGGTGAGAGTTGGAGCTGTTGGGTGAGGGTCGGAGCCTGCACGTGAGTGTGATGCCGAGAAATGGGTTCGTTGATATTACTGGGAAGTGACGCGTCGACAGTTCTCAGTTCCGCTTATCTGCTGTTGACAGAATAAGGCATCCAGCGTTCCGATTACTCAGAACGTCCCAATTTGTTAGATATAAGTGAGTTGCTCGCTTTGTCGACCTGGATGCATGGGGTGGCCAGAGCGAGTACCGACTCAGCACCTTGGTCTGGAGGGTCGCGCGTTCTAGTTCTGCTGTGGGTATGGTTGTTTGTCCCTTGGGTTTCTTGTATGTTCTTTGTCGCGGAAGGCCTTGTGAGTCTGCTGACCTCAAATTGAGGAGACTGCAAGTGTGTCTAAAGGATGTATGAAAAAAGGATAATGAAAGACATAATGGGTACCAGGTGCGGAAAGTTGCAATCGACATCCTCTAGCGCTGGAAAAAGGCATAGGAAGAAAAGGAAGTGTTTCTCATTTTGCTGGCTCCACATCAGGTTTTAGGACACTATTTTTGGTTTTCCCTCGTGATATCGAACAACGACATATAAACAGTCATAAACACTGTGCATTTGAATCTGATTGATGATGGCATTTAGTTTGACGATGAAACGCGAGGTTTGCGCAAAAATGTAGAGTCCACATCTGATTTCAGGGCATTCCTGTAGGTTTTCATTGTCAAATTGATCAGCGACATATAAGCGAGCGTCGATTCTATGCATTTCTAGCGGACAGTTTAAAGAATTTGTTACACTTACTTACATGACCGTATAGACAAATGGGTCGCTAATTTTGTGCAACATAAGGCGCATCTTTACTCCTGCAGTATATTTACACAATGGTTTTGTTATGATATTGGATACGAATTATCAATAACCACAAATTATCTGTACCTTAGCCTGGTATATTACGAAATTGTGGTAGACATTTAGGGCAGATGATCAGAACACTCCGTTATACTTTTCTGAATAATTCATGGTTTCTTTGTAATTATGGACACGACGAAAGTCATGTATGTCTTCCACCTATGTGCTACTCTTTTCATTCTGGATCTGTATATCCAGATGTATACTTTGCAGTGTTGTAGATGTATCTTGAGTTATCAATTACACACAGTGTTTTCTTTAGTGGTTAGTGAATTTTAATACAATTTCGGAGTTTCTAAATACATAATTTGCGAAATAGAGAAAATATAGATCGATCATCTCGACTTTTTTTCAATTCATCTACATCATGTCACAATAAAATATTATATAATAGTCTTTACACTGTTGTTTATAACCCAAATGAGTTAGTAACGAGTGAGTTTAGTATGAGAATCTTATTGATTTGCAACAGGTTCTGAGAAGTTTCTATTCCGTTCCTAAGTACTCTCGACAAATAGTTGATTACGGAAAGAAGGTAAAAATATCTGTGAAACTATACAAAAGTTGACCTCACGCTCTTAAAACTAATTTGAGATAGTTTCCCTCCAAATTTTACTCAGTGTGGAAAAAGGTAAGAAATCTGAGTTAACTTCCGGATAAGGGCGAATCTGAATGAATTACCGATTACCGTCATGACTCGAACATTAAGGGCTCCTGGTTACGGACAGTGCAGGGGCAACTGTTGTTACCATGAGACAACTCAACCGATCAGAATTATCAAGATGAACTCCTTTTTATGCGAGCTTTTATTATCGAATTCTTACGTATTATTAACAAAAGAAATTAAATTTGTAAAATTAGCGTATTTTTAGTTCCTGCGGAACACCAGGATTTTATAGAACGATCCCGAAACAAATAACATCATTTTGTATTCCTTCATTCTCTGTGTGTTGAAGAGCCTTGATTACGAAGAGCACACCGATTCCACACATCCCACTGCATTACCAATCCCATTCAGGCGCGTGAGCGGATTGAAAAGCGCGCGGCGGCGTTGCGGCGCGCGAGGGCGTGGAGGCGTTGACGCTTGCCGCGAGCGGTCGGGGGGTGGGGGCGCGCGGCAAATGCCATCCAGCCACACACAGACACACACGTGCGTGCGTGCGCGCGCGCGGCTTTATCGCTAATTGCAGGGAAGCGGCGCGTCGCGGCGGCAACGGCGCTTGCATTTTATCCGCGTCGCTTCCCGCGCGCGCGCGTGAATATGGCCGCGAGCTCCCGATGTGGCCGAGAGAAATTTCCGCTTCGGAGAAAGAAAGCTCGAGCGCGGTACAGCGCGTTTGAGTGGCGGAGACACCTGGCGTTTGGAGGGCGGTTTGTCGCGCGCAGCACAGTAGAACAGGCGTCGCTTTAGGTTCAAAAAGGAATAGTAGACAGTCGAGGCGTGTTGGCAGCAGTTGGTAGTTGTTAATTTTTTATGACACTGACATTTTTTATGGCAGTCCACTTTGACAATTTTTTTATATTAACGGTAACTATACTTTATACATAAGTTACCATTATATTATTTTTATATAATAGTAACTTAAGCTTCCACGTATATTTTTTCGTAATTTTTGATTGATGAACCTTCAGAGTGTGTCATAAAGTCAAGTCGTGACAACCAAACCTATTTGTGGGGTTGGTTGCCACAAGTTTTGAAGGGTGGGTTCACATTAACAAGAAGTACCATTGGAATACTTCTTCCTTGGTAGAATAAATTAATGTAAAAATGAATACGTTTTTCAGTGTTTCAGTGATACAAATAAATATAAACAAGTTTATTGTCGTTTATCTTGTAGAACAATCTCACATTGGTAATCCAATTATAACAGATTAAAAATTAACAATTTAAAAATGGGTGAATCAGTTTTTTTACTTTTTTAATAAAAGGACTTCTATTTCCTGGAACATTGATTAGGTAACCCCATTTAATAGTTTTCAATTTTACATATAGGTGTTGTGGTGCGTTATCGTTGGCATTTCTAATGAAATAATTATAAACGTTGTCATTGCCAACAACAGTAATGCCAACGTTGGCAATGAGAACGTTTATAATTATTTCAATTTTACACTAAACAGAACTTAAACATGCGATAGACGAGCAACAGGTTTAATTATTAAAATCTTTGAAAGTATTTTCATCCTGACACTTCTTCCATCAAACTTAATCATTAAAAAACACAATGGTTACTCAGAAACAAGGTCACAGCTTATATGCATTTATTGTTACGAAACATAAGTTTGAAATAATTACGTCTTAAATAAGGTGACAGAATGGTGACAATTACATGTTATATGGACCTTCAAGTTATAATGAAATAAACATAAATTTAAAAAAATGAATAATGACTCTTTAGAAAACTAAACACTGATTGATGACCAAAATCTAGAGCCTTTTCATTACCACTATTTACAAGTCATTTTTATGGCGTAAGAGAATCAACATGAACGGAAGTCTTTCCCCCGAGAAGGGTTCTCTGTCGCGCCATAGACGGCGGGCTGAAGTAGCTACTACCGTAAATGAGTTGTCGATCTGCATCTTTTATGCCGCCTACTCTTTTCTTCACACGAGCGGCAGGAAGACCTACAGTCACTCCATTGTGATCCTGTGCAGTAGGCTGAGACACGGGTCCAGAACATAGCAACTGACTCAAAAATGAAAAGTAAGTAGTTGGAGATAGGCGGGTGCCTTAGCTCGTACGGTCCGGAAAGGTCCGTGGTGGAAAGAGATGGTCAATGAGCTTCAGACACCGGTCGGCGGCACTACAATAGCGGGAATTTTAAATGCAGCCAGATATCTAAATTATCGCCA